AATTGAGAAAAAGTTAGGGCAAGGAATGGGATTACATACCCCAACAGTTCAGTATCCATAAACAACGGAAAGTAGGTGTCGTGCATATCAACCCGTTAAGTATCGACTGCCTGGGTATTCAGTAGTATCACAATTAGACCATGAATTGTAGAATATCATAAGAAGACAAGGGATAGTATCCTCCTAATCACTACCTTGTAGAAGACAAACAAAATAGAACAGTACAACCCATGGATACGTTAAAGGTATCTCTCTTTTACATTACACAATTATGAATTTGTAGAAGTCCTCTGACACATTACCCTAGTTGTGCTCACAGGTGCAGCCCAATCCAATAAGAAGGTTTTTTTCCCTTAATTACTTTCTTTTCTTGGATTATCTTTGATGCTACCTAAAATTATCAAATCACTATAAATTGGGGCAGATGACAACTAAGTGTTTATGCAAATTATAAGTCCTCTTAATTACTTTAAAACTAAAAATAAGGTTCCAAACATAGATAGAACCTTTCTTTAGGGTACTGTCCCTGTTTACCTCATGGCTATGCAACTTCATATCCCGTCACTACAAAATGTATAGAGTATAAATCTAACTATAATGCAATACTAATGACTCAATTTTAGCCCATCTAATCCTCAACGATGCCACCAAATGAGCCTCCTTATCATTGTATCATTTATTCCCTGACCCCTATTAAATGATTGTAAAACTAAGGAACTGAATCATAAAAAGTGGCTTCAAATTGATATATAGTTAATTTGTTAGTAGAAGAAAGGAACTTTGAAAAAGAGATTTGGCATAATAAGTAACTTAAAAAGTAAATTTGAATATACTTTTTAAGTTTTAAGCACAATCAAATATGCTCGGACAAAGAGATATTATTGACTCTTCAGTTTCACAAAATAACTCAATCTTTAACATCGCCAAACATTTTTCCTTTACATTATGTGTGTGTTTGAGCCACATTATTTCTAAAGAATGTATTTTGGAATAGTAGATTGATGGAGAATGTGTGGTTAAAAAATAAAAAAAAATCAAATTTGTGTGTAATATTATTTTGTTAAAAAATGTGTGCTGAAATGATATCAAATCAATATTTGAAAATGTATTTTCCCAAATAATGTGGCTCAACAGGACTTGTGTAAATTTTCCATTACCTTTCTTGAATAATCATTATAATATTACAAAATAATAATAATAATAATAATAATAATAATAATAATAATAATAATAATAATAATAATAATAATAATAATATCACAAGAAAATTCAATCAACTTCATAATCTCAGAAAAGGGCATTAAACACTCGAACACTACACAGAATCAATAATCTCTTCTCTAATCAACTTCATAATCTCAGAAAAGGGCATTAAACACTAACACTACACAGAATCAATAATCTCTTCTCTAATGCTAGTTACTTGATCGGTGCCCTAAAGTCGCAAATATCCTTAAAAGGTTAATACATAATAATGAAGATGAAAAAATAAATTAAGAGGGTGTTTGGTAGAGATTAAAATTAGATTTTTAGTAGATTTTGATAGAAGTTATTGAAATGTGTGATTGAAACTTAGATTAAAATCAAATTTTAATCCGAACCAAACTGGGCCTAAATCAGGTATCAAATTAGGGTTCTAATTTGACACGAATTCAATGATAAACCTTGATGATACAAATAATGAAACTTCAAATTTCGAAGAAAGCAAAATTTAGGAGGGAAACTCACGGAATTTATTTGATCTAACACTTGATTATTTCTTGGGAAATTCTTGTTCTTCAATGGAAATTTACGAGTTGAATGGTCATCTTATAGAGTTTCTCATGTATAAATGAAGCTGAAGTAGTATCAGGCAGGAAAGGTAGGAGAGCTCCAATTGAAGCGATTGAAAATTGAATGGAAAACGACACCGTTTCAAGTAAGTAATAGTAAAACGATTTTCCTACCTTAGCAATACGTTTTTTAATTTGTGAGAAGGAGATATACATAGGGTAAAATCCCGATACATGAATATTCAATCAATTAATAATTTTGCTTAAATAATAAAATTCTTTAGCCTCGACTTGGATCAGTGTACTAAATTAATAGCACCAATAAATGCATAAGGCAATAATTTTTTGAGATCATTTAAGATCCAACGAATATATAAAATAATAATTTCTTAAAAGGTTGAACCCCAACCTTAAGGGTCTCCCACCGCCCCTACCCTGGAACATCGTGAGGGAGGTAAATCGCAGGTTATGCCTCCAAAGGTACAGGGTGGAATGTTGATTGTACACTTGCACTTACCCAAGAGCTAAATCCATATTTCAGGATTCAAATTCTTGACGCAGCAGCCTCAAGCAAAGTTGGATTTCTCCACCCTCCCTTTTTACCACTTGGAGATGTTCCCTGGAGGCTATAAAATAATAATTTCTTAAATTTATAAAAGTTCATACTAATACAAATTAACAAGCTTTTAAGTAACAATATTTTCTTCAATTTGCTTCTTTTTCAAAATAAGCATAAAGTCTTTTATTTTTTCTTTGCACACAAACTAAAGTCAACTACATTTCTAATTTTTTGAAATGAATATACTACATTTGACAAATTTTTTTTTTTCATTTTGTACAAAGTAATTATTAAAAGTTATAACTGCTTGAAATATCTCTATTGAATAAATAATTGGTAAAACACAACAATTATCTAGATCATGATTATCATTGATAGGTGTATTTGATTACCCCTTGAATAATATTTTCATCATTAGGAGTTCTATCACCACATCATTTTCACTAGGATAATTTAAAAGGTGTTCGATATTCATGTAATTTCTATAGCGTAGACCAACAATAGGTTCACACAATCCATTGATCCCTTCATCTTCACTAATTTTTTATTCAACATTAATATCGTCATTTGGCCAAATCTTGCAAAAATTTTAACTCCTTTCAAATAAGATGTCATAGTAGAAAAATATATGAAATTTGGAATGATCAAAGATCTTAAGTCAAAACTAATTATTGTATAAATTACGTTCGATGTGTATATGAAATAACTTGAAAGGTTAATCTTCCAATATATTGAACTTCGAAGCAAATACATCTACATTAATATTTTCCTTTTTAATGTATTTATGTGTGTGCTTTTTTGCATACTTACATATTAAATTTTGAAATTTACCACATTCAACATATATTTTTTAAAAATTTCCGATATGTATTATTGTAATATATAATACAAGTTACAAAATATATAAAATACTTAATTAATAAATATTTATTTATTGAAAAATTTATAAATTATTAATTTATTGATAAATCAAGAAACTCACAAAATTAATATTTTTTTCAAGTCCAATGTTATTGTTTTATTTAGGTTTTACAGAACATGTTAATGCGTTGAAAAGGGAATTAGTCTGTAATATGCAAATTCAGTTGCAATCGTTGATCAAATCGACATGCACTCTCTTCACTTCCTTTTTTTTTTTTTTTTTTTTTTTCATTTCATAATCCCCGATTCAAATTTTCTTCTTAATTTTGGTCTGCAGTCAGCTTGTTCAGCTGAAGAAGCTTCCACTAATTAGTTGTAGGGTGAGCTGCAAAATAGAGGTTCTTCAAATAATAAATTGGTACCAAAGAAGGCGTATTAGACTGAGAATTACTGGAGCCATGAACACGTGCAAAAGTTGTAGATGAACACTTGAAGAAACTGGAATTGGAGATGCCTGATTTGGGTATAGCCTTCAAAGCTGTTATCAGCATATTAAAGATCGGGATGGAGTCTCAGATCAAACACTTCAGGTACTTTATCATACACAAGAAAAAAATTGAGGATGTTGTGCTAGACATGAACAGAAGTATGAAAAATTGATGGCTATGATGGCCTAGATATCTGCAAAATTTAAAACTGAACAGAAGAATAAAAATGTAGAAGGATCTACTATCAACTTTAGAAATCTAATAGTGTGTTGTCTACACGAGGTGATAGAAGTCACGAGAATAGTAATCATGCTAGAGATAATATAAGAGGAAGCACTAAACTACCTAAGATTGATTTTCCACAGTTTCGGGGAGATGGACTGAAAGCCAGGAAGTATTTCCAACTTCATCAAGTTTCTAATGAACATAAAGGTGGGATTGCAGATATGTACTTTAAAGGAAGGCAAACATATTGTTTGACGGCTTCTTTGCAAACCATCCTAATATAGATTGGGGCTTACTCTCTGAGGAGATCTACAGGAGGTTTTCATAAGCCACCGGGAGAGGAAATGATTGAATCATTTAGCAAGATTAAACAATTGGGCCCAATGACAAAAGGACTTAATACTAACAGAGGTTCGAAGAGAAGACCCAGGTGATTTCAGATTACCAAGCACTTGTGAGAAAGTTTAGAAGGAAAGGGTACGGAAATTCTGTGCCAGAAATCGTATTTTGGAATTTAAGGGACTTGAAGAGTACGCCTGTCTCGAGGAAACAGCCCAGGGTGGCACTTATGAGTGGGTTTTCAAAGAATTTGATGAAATTGCTCTTGGAGAATGATGGATTTTTTTGACCCTGAGGCTGTCATGGAGGCTGCGATTTCTGGAGAGGAGTACGAGAAGTTAGCCGTTCTTGATTGATCAAAACATCTTCAGATCGATGATAATGTTAAAAAGACACAAGATTTAAGGTTTAGTTTCAATTGACCACATTGCAGGCAATGAACCATTACCCTATAAAGATTTTCAGCAATAATGCTTTCTTCCCCTCAGTATTTGTGCTTCCTGCAATTATTTGCAATTAGTTCCCATTGATCACATGTGCTCTCTGGACCAACTACAATCCTGCAAGTCAAAGAATTGACCAGAACATTTCGTCCATCTTTGACATAGCTTAAAAAGTTAAATAAAAATTTAAGTCAAAATCAATAATTAATTATAATCACAAATTTCATGAGATCCACAACTTTCATCTCAATTGCTCGAGACATTGGACTAAATGCTCCTCTACCACACTTGGATTCAACGTAGAGCCTCTCCGTGAGCAAAGATAAAAAGATTTTGGATCCTGGAATTTTCAAGACCATATTTAGGTTACAACTACTAAGCTAGAGCTACCACCACTACCTGTAGCAGAGATGCTTTTAGGCATGTTGTTTCACCATGCACAAACATAAGTTGGCTGTTTAGCCAAATTTTCATGGCAATATTCATAACAGTTTTACAATCACAAAATGATTATTGTTTCATTGCGAGGTTCAACACAAAAGGTAAAAAGAGATCATGCAGAACGAAGGCTCCTGAATGTGGTTTAGAGGGTACAATATTTCTATTTCAGCCACAATTATTAAGCAACTCCAGAATTCTTACAGGAACTTCCTGGGTGGCCTTCCTGCATCCTCATCTTGCATGTGCTGCAATCAAAATTACCACGGAGGTAAGTATTATAAGAAAGTTCAGGAGACTAAGACACACAAATCACACGGAATTTGGGGAAGAGGCAGAAACATGAGAAACGTCAAAGGCAAAGATGTGATAATTTGTTCGAGAACACTTATCCGGCATTCAATAACTGATACTTTAAATTAATAATTATTTTTCATTTAAAACGCCCAAAACAAAGGAGGAATTTGTTGAACCCCAAAATGAATGAAAGCCATTCAGCTTAACAATCAAATTCTCAAATCACAATACTCGTATGTAAACACCATTGAGAAGGAAGAAAATGAACAAAAGGTAAGGAAAATAAAAAATTGACCCAAAATTTGATCGGTTTATCAACACTCTGGAAATGGGTTTGAATCCAAAGGAATACCCAAGTTATGTAGAGGACGAGAGGAGAACCTATAAAATTGTAGGGTCGGGAAAACGTTAGAGCTGCCACTGCCTCCACCCACTAGCTCAACACATCTCTGGCTTTGGTTGAATAAAAAATTATTTTCATCGAGACTTTCTTTTGATATTTAACGAATATGTGATCATTCAGGAAAAATACTAATGTTATGGTTTGTGGTCTAGCCGTGTGCCTTTTCTTATATGAAAGACATTTAAAAATTGAATCCCTTCAATTCATTTTTTCGAATCCTTCTACATATATATTTTCACCTTTTCGTCCAAACAATTCAACTATCTGAAGACCATGGATGTATTTTGAACGACCATTATAAATAAGACCTTAAAAGTTTCATTTATTTCCCACCAAGAATTTTCATCTCATCTCTCTTTCATGCAACTAATTTCTTCACTCCCAATAGATAGATTTGCTCCAATTATATAATATTTATGCTTCAAAGATAGATGGAAAGACACAGTTTGATTCATTGCTTCCTGCGTGATTGAGGTGTTGCTTCAAAAGAAAAGAAAATCCACTCGATGCTATGAAAACATCGCTCAAGACTTTAATGAGAATTAGTTTTTGATGAGGGAGCAAATTCTTTTTTGCTAGATAATGAGAATTATTGAGTGCAGATTTCTAGAGATAAAATTTATTCATATTTGCATGACTAAAAATTTAAAAATTACAGTGAACCACATATATCATAGGAATGAAATAGAAAGAAAAGAACATGGACTTCATTCCTAAACTCTACAATGTAGAATTACACATGCACGCAAACATATAATATATGTCAAACTCAGTGGTAAGGCCTTGGATTTGCTTCCCAATTGTCATTGGTTCGAGTCCTCTTAGCAACACTGAGGTGACTACTAACTCTAAACTTCAAGGTCCCGTGAAATTAGTCAAGCTGAGCTTGAGCTAGATCGAACACCCACGGTCATCACAAAAAAAAATGTCAAACTGAAAAATATTTATTGCTACAATTTGATTTACTGCACAACAAACAAGGTACAAGCAGCAAGAAGTTGAAGAACGCCAGTGACTTGCCTAATGAGCTAGCACTCTTCAACTCAATATAAAACTATCCCCAACAAGGGACAAGAGGAAGAAAGCATATGACTCTACAATTGTGTTATATGCAGAACTAATGTGGAAATCAATACAAACCTAGCAGAGTTAGAAATTACAAAATAGCAAAAGTAATATTTTCAAAAAGCAAATTTTGTCGCTGCAATTGGTTTGTGTGGTTTCATGTAATCTTGACCATTAAGAACATAAAAGAAAGAGAAATTCAACATGGATCTATTCAATCTTGCTGAAAAACAAATCTTTATAGGTCCTTCAATACCCATTACTAATTCAACTTCAACTGAAAGCCTGCTTATCCAAATAAATCCCATGATTTCATTACTAAAAATAAACACCTGAATCACCGTGAAGACTTAAATCTACCTGAAATTGGAGAAACTGGAAAGAAATCAAAACTAATCATCTGGCTGTCAATGTTGCTCAAAAACAAATCTTTATAAATCTTTCTGTAATAGCCATTACAGATTCAACTGATAGATTGAAAAAAATAAAGCTCGCATCATGAAAACTCAAAATTGACCGAAATTGGGGTAACTAGAGAAAAACAAAAACTAATCATTAAACTATCAATGTTAATCAAAAACCAAACTTCATAAATTCTTCTTCAATAACCATTGCAGATTCAATAGAAAGACTGCTAAATTAAACAAATTCCAAGATCCCAAACATGTTCAATTCCAAAAGCCAAACGTCAGAATCATCAAGAACACTCGAAACCGACCCGAAATTAAGTGAAAGAGATCGACACTCAAGGAAAAATCGATCGGATAAATCAAATAAACCCCAGGATTTTAGACATGTTCAATTCCACAAACTAAACATCAGAACGCTCAAAATCGACCAAAATTGGGGCAAATAGAACGACCCACAGAAAAACAGACTTCGTGTGAGGGATGTATAAAAAAATGATGTACAATAAAAAAAAAAAAACTTACGAATTCTTTGATAATGCCCTTGTAGACGAAGACTGGGATGGCGATGCCGAAGAGGCCAACAAGGGCGAAGTTGCGGCGGGTCCACCTGAAATTGTGCTCCAGATTCTCACGCGCCGAAGACCAATCCTCTATCCACTTGTTCTTGTGAGCTTCCATACCGCCGCCCATTTTTTCCGTTTCCTCTCGCTGAATTCTTTCTGTTCCTCGAGGTACGACCAGTACATTATGGTTATGGTCACTCAGGATAAATTAGTAGGATTTTGATTCCGGTACCTAACTATTAGAAAGATTTCATTTTAGCTTTTCATCTTTGAATTTCCCAATTTAATCACCCAAAATTTCCTTTCCCCGATTTATTAAAAAATTCATTAAATAATTAATTTTAACTACATATTTCCAAACGTCGCATTCATATAATCCAATAGAGATATCTCCAAACTCTATCAATTTTCACTTTTGTCATATAGGGAATTTTGCTAGAGGTCCCACAACTTATAGATTTGTTTCCTATTGCCACACAACTTTAATTTATTTTTCTTCTTATTTGATCACCCAACTTACATTTTTAGTTCAATTTGACTTATTATTTGTAACTAATACTACAATTGACAAATATCCATGTAATGACTCTATCAATAAAATCTACTGCGTAACTTATATTTTAGTTTCATCTTAATCATTTCGCTTTATAATTTTATTAATAAAATTAATAAAATTTGTGCAGTGATCAATATATCGTAAGATTTTATATTTTATAGCACTTGAAAAAATTTATATCGTTAAAAATATATGCTAGCTCACAAATTGGGCAATTCGAATTCAAGTAGATCGTAAAGACAAAGCAGTGGAGCTCTAATGCCATTTTTAGAATATTTAGTAATTTAAGGCCATTTTACCTAACAAGACCAAGGGCGAGGAAAGCGTTAAGTGAAGGTGACATTGTAATCCACACCTCTAACAAGATGAGTAGAGGACCATCCAATTGTATTTTTTTGAAAAACATTGACAAATTTTTGAGCATGTCCATGCCACTAGCATGTAGTACGAAGTTATCATCTCCATTTGCACCCACATCTCATGATAGTATAGACAAGACGGTGAAGAAAAATTATTAGTTGAGTCACGAATTTTATTTTTAGATAAAACAATCAACTTAGAATTATAATATTTCAAATGAAAATCAATTCAAGTTACATAACTAATATGAAACAAATGTGTATATCAGGTGTATGTAGTGAAATTTTTGTAGAATCATAGAGTTGATTGTTTTAATGATCATTGAACTTGGTTCATGCCTTTGTTGGTCACTGAAATTTAAAATGTGGAGTTTTGGTTACTGAACTTAAATTCATGTCTTCGATTGCTCACTAAAAGTTAAAATGACCAGATTTAACCACTGAACTTTGAAAAATATTTTACATTACTCACTGTAAGCTCAACATTTTTCAAATTTCAACATTTACGCTATTGAATAGCGTACAGCATTTTTCCAGAGTATAATGGTCAAAATGGCCAAAACTTGATATTTTAAATTTCGATAAGCAATCAAAGACATTGACCTAAGTTCAGTGACCAAAATTCAACATTTTAAACTTCAGTGACATGGACCTAAGTTCAGTGATCATTGGAACAATTAAATCAGAATCATATATTACTATAGCACTTTGTGAACTCTTGAGAAAAATAAAGTGAACTCAGAACATAGAACAAAAATCACAAATCAAGCACAAAAATGGCTTCGAAGATGTCCTTAAAGGCGGCAAAAGGCAAGAACATAAAGAAGGCAGCTACGTTTTAAGGAAGGATATACTGAGGCGGCTGCAGTGAAGGTTGTGAAAAGTGGAGCACTTGGACTATGAAGAAAGCTAAAGTCATCACTCACTATGGATTCATACCGTTGGTCATCATCATTGGGATGAACTCCGAGCCCAAACCCTCACTCTCTCAACTCCTCAGTCCTGTGCAGTGAAGTATTAAGATAGTAAGTCGCGTATTTCTGTTGAATTTGCCTATCCTTTTACTCTCTTCGTTTGGGTTGATTAGTATAAGTCAACTTCACTTTTGGTGATTTTAGGTAACGATTATGCTTTTAGTCTATCTAACTGGATGATACGTGTGGTTTAAGATTTGATTAGTACAATAAGTTTTGCTTGCTCATTTTTATTGTGGATATTCAATGTCAAATAGTCGTGATTATTAATTTTATGCTTATAGGATTGGTGAAGTTTAATAATAACTATGTCTGAGCTGTGTATATTTTAGTTTTCTTTTATGGTAGTGGCAAAGCATTGTCTGAGTGAGTGAGCAGTGCATACTGAGTTCTTGAAGAGGCTCTGCTGCTTCTTTCTCGATGCCCACCCTTTATTTATGTAGATGTTGAGGCTAGGCAAGATCCGGTTAAGTATAGGTTTATCTGAGCGCCATTTTGGTCCGTATCCTTCTCTCGAGGTGGTGGAGTACAGAATGAACAGAAAAAAAAAAAAAAAAAAACTATGTCAGGAAGCGTCCTCCTCATAATATGTTCAATTAGTTCTCTGCTAAATAAATATCTTGGTGACATCTTGGGGTAAACTCATTAAAAACATATTTAGCACACGTACATAGCTGAAGTAACACTTGTAACGTGTAATGTGAATTTGGTGAATTGTATATTCTAATTTGCTCTCAAATTGATGGATTCAGTTCGGGAAAGTATATAGAATAGTTTTCATCTATGTTTTTGAAAAAGGGATAACGTTCGTGTCCCATAATTAACTTTCCATGCCAATGCCATGAAGGAACTTGGCAGAAGTTAATCCATGTATAAACGGGATACAAAATTACGAGCATACAAAGTTAAGTTCATGTATGATTTTGGTACCCAATGTGATGGTCATGTACTGTAATTACCATGTCTGATGTTTATGGATTGCTCTCGTGCATGAATAGACACGGCCCATAACCTGCAATAGGCACACATTAAGCTTGTTTCGGCTCACTTTCCTATTTGCTTTTGTTAATTTAGCAGTAATTATGTGTCACTTCCTGAAGTCTTATTCGTAATTGCAAAAACATTGTTGGATTTGTTATAACATCTAGTTGGCTGGTTTACTTGATCTCTTAAAAGGTTGTACTAAAACTATTGTTGGAGTTGCCTCTGGAATTCAACGGCTTTATAATGATACAATGAATCAGCTTGGCAAATTTTTTGCACTTATTGATATTTTGGCAATGCTTTTGCCTTCATGAATGATGAATGAACTAAGTCGCACTGGCTCGTTTGTTATTGTTATTCTCGGATTTTGTTTGTTCAGATGTTTGGAAAATGCTCCATTATATAAGTTAAGCAACAGCGCTTAGTAGGTCGTTTTTCTTGACATTAGCAGGGTTGCTAGATTTTACACAATTTCCTGGGAATGTGGTGTGGCTAGGAATTAATATCAACAATTTTTTGGTATTAGTTATGATGATTTCATATGTTTTTCGTACAAATAGTATTAGATTCACATATTTTTTCCAAATAGTTTACCTACTCTAACAAGCACGTGGACCCCGCGTGAATAAAATAATCCCAATATGTGGTCCCCACATCCCTATTGTGAGTGTATGTAAAGCATTTGGTAAAAAAAATTAGGTACATCTAGCATGGTCCAATATCTTTATTGGCGTTGTTTTTCCCTTTGCACCTTGAGCTACTTATGCTGTTTTATGTTGGTTACGTTATAGCCCTTTTTTTTCTTTTTATGAAGGATAAAACATATATGCCCTCTCTCTTAAAATGCTCAAGAAACCAAAACAAATGGCATGTAGTGAACCAATCCGTATGAAAACCAATGGAGTTGAGTGTCAAGTAATCCAATATCATTTCTAAAAAAGTGACAACAAAATTTAAAAGATGAAAGAAATTATCGTTTGTCACTGGCACCATCGAGTTTAGATCCTTAAGTAAAGTTATCTTGTCACATAACTTTAAATTATTTTTGCACGGGCATTCAAATTCGTTTCATATTCATCTTTCTATTTGTCATCATAATTTGACATTTTGATGGATTTAATGATGATTAATCCATCAGATACCAGATGGTTGTTATAATGTTTATAATTAGCAAAATTACGCAAATTGAGGACACTTTTTTGAAATACGATACGATATGATCAATAGTTACATTTTGTAACCTAGCACACTGAACGTGGTAGAATAATAGTTTGCCAGAATCCATGTGATATGTTGGATACGTCATTAGCTTTAGTTACAGTGATGTGAAGTAAAATCCGAAATTAGTTAATGTGAAATAAAATCCTAAATTAGGTGATCGTTGTGAAACAAGTTGAAATATATTGACCAAGATGAAACAAATATATAATTTGGATGACATGAAATAAAATTTCCCCATTTGTTGTAAATTTATAATTTTGCTAAATGCATTCGTAAATCCCAACATATGCAAGTATGGAAAAGTGAAATATCTTCAGTTCATCTCTCTCTGAGAATGACAAAATCCCCCAGCAACCTGCTAAAAACATGGATTTACATTTACTACGAATTCAGATTCATCAGTTTCTTTACGCGTTTCGTGATTAGCGTCTGTCTAGATCTGTGCCATTATCATTTCTGTAAATTTCTTCACTGTTCCTCTCTTTTTTTGTGTACATAAATGTGTGTATATCTTTTATTGGGTTTTCTTGATTTATGATCTATGGTCTTTGTATCCTAGATTTCTATGAATTTAAAGTTTTCATATGTCTTACATCTGAATCTATTTCTATTTTTGATTCTTGTTAAGGTCGTTGAATGTTGCCTTGATTCTTAAACTTGGGTTTTTGTTTGCATGATGTTCTGAAGGAATTTCATTTTTTGAAATTTATTGCAAAAAATGGCAAAATCTTCCGTTACTATTTTTTTCTGCTCTACAATTATGATTTCCATGTTGTATTAACATTTTTATGTATTAACGTTCTTTTTATTATTTGTATAGTGTGTATTGTTTTTGTTCTTTATATTTGATATTTTACCTTTTTATAATCTGGGTATTCGGAGTACAGCTAGCACGTGTGTCTTTACTGTTCTCGTGTGTGCTTTTGCTTAAAAAAAAAAAGAAAAAGGGAGGAAGAAGAAATGCTATTATGTTGTGTACGTTTTAGAGCTGAAATCAAATATTCTTTAATTAATTTTAGGATGAGGCATTTAAAAGAATATAAAAGAGATAGGTTGAAATTTATAGTGAAATCTGTTATTCTTCATTGTGGCTTTAATAATAATGGAATTTAGTGAAGATGACACCTC